CGGCGATTAAAGCATCACCAGGTCGCCGGCCTCGCCTCGTCGCCTCCTTCTCGTCGTCGGCTCTAAACCCTAAACCAGGTCGCCGGCGATTAAAGGTTCTTAACCAGCAAGATCGGATGCGATAGCCGGCAACGATGCGAACGAAACCAGCAAGAACGTCGTCTGTGGAAGTCTTGCCGGCAACGATGATGAGATGGATGCGATGAGAAACCAGGGTTAAAAGGGTAATCTGTCAAATAAGTCAAGAGGGTTTAACTTATCAAAAACGACTTATTACCGGTTTGATACCGGTATAAGCACTTTTTTTTTTTATCCAAACACTCCAAAATGACTTATTACCGGTTTGGCACCGGTATAAGTCAATAAGTCCGTTTGAAACGCTTTCCCAAACACCCCCTTAGTACTCCCTTCTTCATCTTAGTCCTAATAAAGAGTAAATTACAAATTTGGTCCCTGTGGTTTCTCAAAAGTAACATTTCATTCTTACAGTTTCGAAATTACAGTTTGGCCATTGTGGTTTGCAAAAACGACCATATTTGGTCCCTCCTTCTAACAAACGTTAAAATAACCCGTTAAGTTAGGGGCATTTTTGTCTTTTTGCTATTTTTTGTTTTGTACCAATCGAAAAACCTCAAGGACCAAAAATTTAGTTCACATCTTCTTCTTAGACCAACACCGTGTTCTCCGACCAAAACACCTAAATTAAAATCTCAAAATCAAAATAAATTTCAAATCCAAATCGAAATATCAAAATAATGGAGGATAACCCTAACTGATATATGTAAACACTACACAAAAATCAAATTCAGTCTAAATTAAATCAAACTCGTATATGTATCTTCAAAGAGTAAATCATAGAGATAAAAAAGATTTATGCCTTTTGCATCCCAAAGAGATTGTTTCAAAATCCATATATGGTGGTTTGGTAGACCTAAAAGGGAAAGAGACAACGAGATATGTTGGCGATGGAGAGGGGTGGGGGATGATGAGGTTCGCCGGAGATGGGGTAGCGGTTGGCCTGCGGAGGGCTGTTGGTGGCAAGATGTATGTTGGCGAAAACCTGGCCCTGGGTTTACTCTTCGATGTATTTATCTTTGTGTGTGTATACAAGATTAAGTTATACTTTTTAGTATATATGCTAGAGTAAGTTAAATTTTTGGTCCCTGTAATTTATATATTTATTTAAGAAAAATGAGCTAAAACTCTAAAAGTATTAAAAAAAACTAAAATACTCCTGATTTAACGTTTTTAACATCCGTTATTCTGTTAGAGAGAGGGACTAAATCCGATCGTTTTTACAAACCATGATAATCAAACTGTAGTTTCAAAACTACAGGGACAAATGTATTATCTTTGAGAAACCACAGGGACCAAAAATGTAGTTTTCAAACTTTTGCAGCTTTCTGTTCATCGCGTTTCTTTCTGGTGTGTGATTCTATGTTATTTCCAGGTATGATCTTGATTTTAGTAAATGCAATGCTTTTTTTGGTCTGAGAAGACATATTAAACCCCCTTCATATTACTCATCAATAGTGTGATAAAAGAAAGTCACAGACTCCAAAGAATAAAAAGATTGCGTCTAGCCAAGTTGGGACTTCACAAGTCAGGGACGGACCCATAATTTTTTTTTAAACTATGGTATCATTGACCATAAGAAAAAAAATATATGTTTTTTTTTTCAAACGGTGGCACTGTTTGACTAAGAAAATGACACTAACATGATTCGGACTTGGGTGTGGGGTAGAATAAAAGTCTTGCAAACCAACTCTACCAAATAGAATTTGTCCTCATTGTAGTTTCAAAATACATACAGTGGCACACAACAAATTAATACGGTTGCACCGTTCACGAAACCTAAATTTTTTACCCTTCGGTGGAGAAACGATACGGTGGCACGTGCCACCCGTGGCACCTATGTAGGTCCGCCTATGCCACCAGTGACGGATGGCCATTGGGGGCTTTTTCTTCCGACAGAGTGAAGTATTTTCAGTCCATTAACATTATTTTATTATAACATCATCAATTTCTATTACAGCATTGTATTTTTAATTTTAGTATTTTTAGTAAATATATTAGATTTGTTTAAATGATAAAAATATTAAAATTAAGAGTACAATGTTGTAATATAGATTGGGGGTGTTATAATAAAGTAATTTTAAAAGTATAATGTTAATAAGAAATGTCATGTCATCATTATCGTACATGCGGACAGCCTACGTGGACGATGAACTGGCAAAGAAACCTGGTACAATAGATAAATTTAATTTAAAATATTACCCAATGCTACAACGGGTAAATTTTTGAAAATATGATGCCCTAATAAAAAATCATTTTGAAAGTTTATTGTTGTAATAAGAAAAACTGAAAATGGAATGTTATAATAAAGAAATTTATAAAAGTATGTTGTTATTTCACGTATTTTGCCCGTCAAAAAAAAAGTAAACAACACCATGTTTTTGTGTTTGAAAGTTACATCGGTCATTTCTTTCATTCAAACAAATTTATCCATACAAGATTTAATAAACAATTTGCTAATCAGCCCCTAAAAGGGCCTTAAGAAGAGAAGATTCCAACATATAAAGTGGTTAAAGGGAGGGATTGTGTCTAGAGTCGTATTGTCTAGCAGGGTTACCACATCAAGGGTCTGTACATCAGCAACTTAATGCAACTCACAACTTAATCGGTCAATTATACTTGATTCTTTGACATTGACTTAATGATATAGAAATCGGCTTATTCAGTAAGCTTTCGGAGGAAAGTTTCATACAAAAAACCAAGTTTTTTCCAAACATGTCCCTCCCAATTAATATACATGCTCATTCAATCTATGAAAAAACTCTCTCAAACAAAAACATTTCTAATTTATACAGACAGATTATTCATACAGGACTTAATGGAAAACCAACCAATCAACCTCTAAATCACATATCTACCCAACTATGCATATTTCCAGACGTGTTTAAAATTGACCAAGGTTTGGTAAAGTCTTGTTGAGGAAAAGCATTTTACTATACTTATGTAATACAATAGAGAAGTGAAACTAAGCATCCTTTTGAAAGGCCAGTATGCAGTTCCATCTAAAAATGGTACATAACTCATACTAACCTTTTCTGTACAGCAATGACCAGTACCATTAGGATAGGGGAAACAAGAAAGATAACATACGGTAGAGCTTGAAGCGATGCATCTTCCTCAGTTTCGGTTTCATTTGACGATGGGTTGTTCTTATTTTCGATAAATGCATCAAAGAAGTTTTGGTACCCTGTTTTAAATTGAGAGTTGCTTGAGCTCGTAACCTTCATCATCTCCATTGCCTGCAATCAATCAAGTAGTCTTGCTCGCTCAACTAGTACCTAACAGGGACTGTGAACCTAGTGGTTGCGGTTTTGAGCCTTTCTTTCTATTTGAAAAGATCAAGAAAGTGATAGACCGATAAAGAAAGAAATAAATCAAACCAAACGAACTCAGTATATCTCACCTGGAGATAGGACCTAGGGGGTGGGTAAAACGTATGCAGGTTTAACCTCTACAGTAAAAAGTAGAATGGTTGCTCACTTGACGACCCCGTTTAGTGAAATGTGTGTGAAAGGGAGAAAAATAGATATGCTAAAACATGAAAAGATAGATAAGAGTCAACAACAACAATAAAACTAGAGTGAGTGAGAGACAAATATGCTGCTAAGCTTTGAGAAACTAGTTACTCTTGTCAAGATCTTACTTTAGAGAAAATTGAAATTAAACAAAAAAGGGTATGAAGCCGCCCTCTCGAGCGTCCCCACCATACCACTTCCACAGCCATCATGGGGAGATAAATCGCGTGTCCCAGGGGCATGTGGGTCATGGCTGGTGCCTAGAGCCGAACCCTGAACCTCCCACTCATTCTTGAGAGTTGAGGGATTCCCACCACTTTACCAGCTAGGCTAAAGCCATGGCGACTTAGAGAAACGAACTTAGTACTTTCGAAAGTCAATTTAATAAAGTTCTTTAGGATTTATCTCCGTGATGTTTCTGTTGTGATACCATTTTTAATAGTTGAATCTGCATGTCAAAGTTTTCTTAGAAAAACCAAGTATTTGCTAATTTTCAACCCAAAACCCGACTCATTTGACACTCAAAATCAGTTATAGTTTTGGTTTTAAGGTCGTAACATGCAAGCATTGTCCATCAGATTTGTAATAAACTATATAATAGCATGTAATACATCAAGTTTTTTTTCTAATGAGGTGGTTCACCTGGAAGCTGAACACGAACTGCCTTGCTTTCTTGCTCACTCTAACATTTGGGTGCGACTGCAGCTTCTCATACATAACACGAGCTTCATCAGATCTGTCAAGCAGATTAAACAATTTACTAGCTACTTCTGATAAGAACCCACGAAAAATTGCAACAATTGCCGTTTGAAATTTCTATCATTTGCAATTTCACCTCCGTTTTGACAAATCTTCAAACTACATTTACTTATCCATCCACATCATAACAACTATTCACCATCACCACCGCCTACCCCTCAACCCTCTTCTCGACCTTTTCAAGATTTACAAGCAACAGAAGCACGGATTTTCTGAAACTTGATATATTTGATGTACAAAATTGTATTAGCGATGCAAATCTAAACCTGTTGAGGGAGTCTTTACAAATAGACCATTGCAATGCAGCTAAACCATGAAGTTCACTCTGCAGAAACCACAAATCATGATTGTATAGTTACAAATAAGGTTCGTAAATTTTGAAGCATTGGTTAGCTACAATCAACCTAAACAAACTTGAAAGCATTTCGTTCATACTTGATAAAAACATTACCTGATATACCAGCTTATCCATAACTCGTTCGTAAAAGGGTATTGCATCCTTGAGCTTTCCAATCTCCATCAACGAGTCTCCATCCTTCAAATCCTATATATGTTGACAGAAATACTAAGAAGACATTGTGCAATGTCTAGACCAATTTTCAAACAACAAAATGGAAGTTGCAAGTGAAACTGGTACCGTTGAGTTCAGAGCACACCTTCTCACATTCAAATTTCAACTTTGGATCGATATTTAAACCAATTTTCTGCTTATAGGCAGCAATCATTTGTCTTGTTCGTGCTTCTTTTGCAGCCTTTGATTCCGCTGTCTCGAGCACATCTCCGGGGCGAATGGTTTTCCCACCACCAAACTATACAATATGACAGAGATAAGCTGGTACAAACAGTAGAACGGAACTGATTACAAGATTTTGCATTTGTTATGCAGACAGGACTGGACAAGCGAGAGTGAGTAGTCGGGTGAAAGAATTGTGCAAAGTTTTACAGATTTAACTTGACATGGGTAATTTAGTAATTTACCAACCTTGTCCTATCTCCCTCACTTTTGTTCCACCTATTTTAGGACATTCAGTTTTGTCTAGTCCTAGTATTAATGTTGGTGTTATGAAGTTCTACTCGTTAAGTAGGCTTTATTTTCTGTTCGAGGTCAACTTGAGCATTGGTCTTATGAAGAACGACTTGTTAAGTTAAGCAGGCTTTATGTTGTGTTTGAGATAGACTCGACCTTGCTCGAGCTCAAGTAGCTCGTTAAAAGCTTGAATCGTTTGCAACCCTAGTTGTATCAAACATGGGACAACAAGTTTTTGTCCCGGCCTATCTCATCCTATCCCGCACACCAAACGCACCTTAAAAAGCTGTTGAAGAAAGAAGGGAGGTTCCAACACATATAGAGGTTAAAAAGGACCACGTCTAGTGGCACCAACAGACCCCCTCCAATGGAGGCCAGACGGAAATAGCGACTTTGATATCATATAAAGATATTTAGATACCTTTCAGATTAATCTCTAAACAAGCTCTTGAACATATAAGAGATTTCAAGAGGTTAAAGAGACCATATCTAGCCGATGCAAGGATCAACAATATCGGTAAATCGAGAGATGTTTTAGACTTATTCATATCAAGACCATAAAATGAAAATGGAATATGAACATCATCTTACTGTTTTGGAAATGTTGTTGGGTCTAGGGAAAACTCCCCATGTAGAGACTTTAGGCTTATAAAGTTCTGAATCTTCTTCCACAGTTGTATCAGATTCTGAGGTTTCTCCATTTCCAAACCTGCTTGTATCTCCAACGATGATTTCCACATCCGGCAAATCCCCTGCCGGAAAAGGATCACTTATCGGAATCAACCCCGCAGGCAGTCCCCTGCCTTCCTTCTTATCAGCAAATCCTAGCCCCACAAAGTCAATTGCTGAAATCCTGGATTCTTCCTTCTTATCGATTCTCTCTTCAACAGCTTCATTCATCCAAAAATGTCATAAAAACAAAGATAAAATGCATAAATTTAGAACCAATCATGTGCTAAAATCGCTATAAACTTTATATTATACTCCCTCGATGTGATGTTGTGATCTAGAGTTTATTTATCTCCGAAATTCTACCGATCTCTCTGATGATTCTAGTCCTAATTGTATAAAAACCGTAAATATATTTGCGTATGTTCTATAAACTATTGTAAATCTTCTAGTCCATTCTCTCGATCAATAATTGATAGCAATCAAGGTTTTTTTCCTCTTAATTGTAGCACATACCTCTATTTTTCTCTGAATACTCCCTTGCTCCCTCCATTGCAACTCTGGATAGTGACTCATCTTTGTTCCCGCCAAATTCTGAAATCTCTGAACCAGGGGCTTGATTTTGAGCAATTTTGGGAGCTGGATTTGACTGGATTGATTTCTTATATGCTTTGGCTCTAGCAAGAGCGAGCTTCACTGGATCTGGTTGCTGAGATTCCGAAGACGACGATGATGAATCCTTGAGGGCCTTGATTAGAGATACCTTTCTTCTGGGAGTTGTTGGATGAACAACTTCTATGGAAGATTTGATAGATGAAGATAAAAATGGATATTGGGCCACCGAAGACGCCATGGTCTGTGCAAGTTATGTGGAAGAGCTTTTGCTCCCATGGAATATGGATTGCTCTCTTCCACGTGTCGTTTTCCAACCGTTATGCATAAAAACTATTTTTTATTTTTTTATCTATACTATATTATAAAACATTTGATAAAAATTCTTAAAAATTATTTTTTAAGCATAAAGTACCATTTATTAATACATGTTACTTAAAACTCAAGATTACAAGTAGATTGTGCATACATACAATTTATTAAAGCTTCATATCTGAATTCGTATAACTAACTACATATAAAAATAATCAAATACATAATAAACATCTTATTTTAAATATAAAAAATCTAAAATGTAATTAGGATAATCATTAAGTTTTAACAGAATACTTAATTATTATCTTTATAAATGTTATATTATTAAACCAAAAATAAATTATTTCATTATTAAACTTAAATTAATATATATTAAAGAAATTACATAAAAAATAAGAACTTTTAAATAGTTGATTTGATATTAACATCGATATATATTTTTTTCAAATTTTTATGATATATTCAAATTTATATTTTATTCAAAAATAAAATCATTATTGCTTTCTTTAAAACACATAAATTAGTATTATAACATCGATAGAGACAAATAATAAAATAGAATATTAAAATTAAGATGTATCTCGTTGGATTGCACAAATATGCTTCTAGTTATTTTTAAATGAGTGAATAGTTTAGATAATTTAAATAAGGATGTTGAATTGTTGATCAAAATGAATCAATAGAAATGTTGAATTTTGGATTATTGATGTACCATTAGTTTTTATTTTTCTATATTTTTGAAACTAGGTTTTAAAATAAAGTAAATGATAGTTTTGTTTTATTAGTATAGTTGTTCATGGACAGGACAATCCGTTTGATCTAGTCCATCCGGCCTGTTAGAAATACGGGTTTGGACAACCATTATTGAGAAAAATGGACGAACTCAGGTTTGTTCGTTAAATTAACGGGCGGACATGAACAATGTAAAAATAAATATGAACAGGCTCATCCGGCTCGTTTATGTTTTATAGTTAATATTTTTTTACCATTAATTGAAATTATATTAGTTTATTTTAGAACTAAATTATTAAAGTTATAGGATGGAAGTTGAGACTCTTTGGTTTTTCTTGAAAACCCAAAACGCTCTACATTATCTTTGTTAGCATCTTTATATCAAAAGTCTCAATCGATTAACATTGGATAGAGTCGGTAGTTGTTTAATGTTTTAATTGCAACGATGTTTTTCCTTTACCTTTTGGTTTTACATTTTTTAATTAAGCGTTACATTTTTTAGACCCATTAGCCCGGTTATAAACGGGCAATGACAAGTTGTCAAGTTTGAAAATAAAATGCTTGGGTTTATAATATTAGGTCCATTATAAAGAAGAAGAAAATAATTAGGCCCGGCTCGGGCCCGCAAATGATCACCTCTATTTATTAGCTATGTCAAAACTTCGACTTTAGTACTTGAACTTCGTTTATTTTACATAGGTGGTCAATATGGTTGCATTTCGTTTCATGTTTGGTCCCTCTAACTAACGGTTATTGATAGATGTCAATTAACTTAGGGATATATTGGTATTATTTTATTAAATCACTCGATTTAAGTGTTGCCATGATGTCAATGTTAAACTCACCCATGACACTTTTTCCCCTACACAATTCAACAGGAAATGTCTATGTGATCTATCCTCCGACGATCCCCATCAACCTAAACCCCACACACACACACACTCTCTCTCTCTCTCTCTATCCATCTCGTATATCTATCTTTTCTCTTCATAGTATCAACCACCATTACCAACCCCCATTCGATTCATCGTTACTTCTCCACCCCAATACCTATATGTGTGGATTTACAAACATAAAAGCCATACGGCCATACCACAGCTTGCTTTTAGTTTTTGGATGTGAGATGGGTAGTGAGGCCTATTAGAATTATGTGGCAATGGCAAATACAATCGAGATCACCAAAAACACATCCCTCCCCCTTTTCAACACTCTTTTTCTTGTACCCCTTTTCTCGAAGACCCATATGGGCTTACTCATTACATAGGGTTACCAAGCGATGACTTAAATAGGTTTACTCGCCACATGGCTTTACTAGGGACATGGCCGATATGGGTTTACTCACACCATGGGTTTACAGGGGCTACAATTTGAGATGGGTTACACCAAACCACGACAAACTCAACTTAATGGGTTTACTAATTAAGAAAGAAGGTAGTAAGAGGAAAAGCTTAGTGCAATTTTATCGAAGCTAGATTTACCAGTGATGCAGAGAAGGCATCATAAAAGAAAGGGAAGGGGGTTAGTGAGGAATACTAGGAAGTTGTTAAAAGACATGCTCATAAGTTACCTGAGTTTTTCTTAACAGTGTCAGTCAAAGAGACCAAAAAAGTAAAAGAAAGTACAAATACAGCGATCATCAATACAGTAAATAAAGTTCAGGGATGAAAGTTGAAGGTTTGAACATACATGAGAGACCAAAATTGTAATTTACTCTTAAAATTTTGTATTTTCAAAATAAAAAAGAATTACGTTTTCTTTTAATGGCTTGCCCATTTAAAAAAGCTGACGTGGCGAGTTATGAATAAAAGGAAGAAGAAATAGAGTTGAGAAACAAAAACCCTGAAAACCCTAACCCTCCATCTTCTATGCTTCCTCTCCCTACAAGAATCTTGGTAAGTCGGAATTGCTCATTCGGGTTATCTGCGCAGGTTGTGAAGGGCGCAATAGTGGCAGTCGTCTTCTTTGATTGTATAATTTTAGCAGGTAACGTTCTCTGCATAAACTGGATTGAAGATTTAAAGGAAACAGGGTGAGCGATGGGAGAACCTTTGAAGGGAACGGTGACACCACTTTCTTCAGTATTTGCACCGGAGGAAGCCCAGAAAGCGTCAGTACGTGTCCAAGAAACAATATCCGAACGTCGGAAACAGGTGGATCAGTTGCAGGCCTTCCTCAATGATAACAACGGCCTTGTCAATCTCGTTAAGAAGCTCCCTGATCAATTGCATCACGATATAATGGCAAGTCTCCCGCAATTGATAGTTATTTCTTTGATCGAGAAGTTGAACTTCGATTCCCCCTTTCCTATTGTCTACTTTTCCAAGTTAGTGGTGTATTTTTGTTGTGCCGTATACGTACACTTCCCGACTTTCTCCTCCATCTGATTGAAACAATTTTCAACCTGTTAGATGGGCAACTTCTGGCCAATACACCAGCTAGAATTACATTTTTGTTCTCATTGTGATTTTGTTGCTTTTGGTTCTCATTTTCCCTATTTTGGAATCATTGAAATTTATTGACGTTTGATTGATCAGTCTAACATTCTTTTACCAACAAACATGTTTGTAGCTCTCATAAATGGGGGGAATTCGTAATTTAAGCTATGTTTCATTTATAGAACTGTGACCAATAGCTTCTCTATGACATATTTTGCAGGTTCCTTTCGGGAAGGCAGCTTTTTTTCCTGGCAGATTGATACATACCAATGAATTCCTGGTAATTTTGTCATATGGGTGTTCACCTAATTTTCTGTTTACAGTTCACACTCAGTCACTCACTATAGAGCACTACAGATTGGTCACTTCCCTTGGTCCTAGCGAATAAAACAATGCCTTTTTCTTGCTATAAAATTTCCTTTGGTGGAATTTTTGAGGTAGATAATTAATTATCTTGTAAACTAAATAGTTTTGTGGCCAAGCATGCAGAACCATCTATTACAACTAGATCAAACACAATGTATATTCAGTTCAAGTGTAAAGCCTGAAGCTGTAATGGATTTGGACTTGGCTATCTTGTAGAGTAAAGGATATCGATATTAGCATCAAATCGTCGATATCATTTGTCAGCCGCCAATTAATGCACAATTTCCACTCAAATCCTACTTGATACTGTTGTACCATGTGAAGACTGTGTTTACAGTTGATGGCTTGTGAAGTGGATGCTTACTATCTCTTTTATTTTTTTCCCACTTCCAAGATATATTTATTTTCGTTATTTCAACCTCTCATGATGCTAAGTTTGGAAAACAAAATCAAATGAATATTTATTCTTTTGCCATCTGTTAAAATGTTAATGTGTTATCAGATGTTCTGAGTATGAAGTTCCCCTTATTTAGGCAGCAGTTGTTTCTTTGAGATATTAGTTGGGTTGTGGCATGAAAGCAAACTGCTATAACAAATGTTTAGACCTCATAAGTCATATCCAGATTACTTACAGGTTCTATTAGGAGAAGGTTACTATGCTGAGAGAACATCTAAACAAACCATCGAGATTCTGAAAAGAAGAGGAAAGGATCTGGAGTCACAGATTGAAACCCTTAATGCCGTAATCAAGGATCTCAAGTTTGAAGCCTCCTTTTTTGACGACACAGCTATTGAGGCCGCAGTAAGCCCCTTCTCTCTACAAAAATGTCAATTCGATTCACATTCTGACCCTACCATTGCTCGAACGATGAATCGATTACTTGAAGTGCATTCGTATATGTAAGTTTGTCAAAGATGTTCAAGACATTTTTAAAGAATGAGGTTAGAAAGACGGCAGAGTGAAATTTTACACTGCTGAAAACTCCCTTCCTTGAATTGTGAACTCTCTCTTTTACTTGAACTAAATACAACACCTCACATATATTAAAAGGGTAGTACTTAGTAGCTTTGCATCACCAATTGGTTTTAATTTGTACTAGTTTTAGGCTTCACTCCTACTTATCTTCTGCTAAGGACATTTCAACTTTTCTCTTTTTCTACAAGTATTTATTTCCTAAAGCTTTTTACCAGCGTTATACTCATTTAGAACAAAAATTGATTTGTCTGTCGAATCCAGATAAACAACCAACAAGATGACAAATTTTTCATAGAAGTGCTGAAAAAAGGGAACACCCATATTAGTTTCAGAAAATTGAAAATAAAATTAGTTCAGGAAGTAAATAACCGAAAACAGAGATCTGTGACTTGGCCCCATGATATGCATGTTATCCGTAAGCACCATCCATCAACATCAAGTTATTGTGTTGCAGCTTTCGTGGTTTCTCTGATCCCGTTTGTTGTGTAGCCTATGTTTTAAAATATTTTGGATGTTTGCATGTATAAACAAATGAATATAGCTTCTACAAACTCATTAGTCATTAGTATCTTTGCTTATTATTTGGCATGACTTTTGTGTGTTCACTTACTTTTGCCACTGCTTATTTATGAATTATTGGATGTTCTATTAAAACCTGAATCGTTAAACATTTTCATTGATCTATCTAGTGTGATGTATGGAATATATGACAAAAGTGGAGTGTTGGAGTATTTCTATTGATCAGTCATGTCATATAGGCCCGAATCGGACATCTAATTGCTTCGATTTGAATTATCCGGAGAATGCCTTATATAGATATCCAATATATCAAAAAGATGGCCAATCAAACCTATTTCTCGATTGAATTGAAGAGTCAAATGGTTTGGCACCTTCATGGGGGGATGAATCGGGAGAATTTTGAATTAGAGCTCTAGATTTTTGTTCATCCCTTGCCGCAATAGTATCTCGGGGTTTGCAACGATAGCTTGGTATATCTACTATACGACCATTGACTAAAATATGTATATGTTTAACTAATTGGCCAGCTCCCGGAATAGTCGGAGCCATCCAACCGAGAAAGGATGTTACCCAGGCGCATTTCAACTAATTCTAGTAAAACCTGACCTGTTGACCATTTTTCAATGTTAAGACGTTTGAGAAGGCGTCATAAGAATCAGCATATGCAAGAATGCCTTGTTTTCTAAACAGAGAAATGTGCAAAGAAAACGTTGCTACTTCGCTATCGGTCACCGTGTAGTATTTAGCCTTGCAAGGTGGTCCATCCAACTTTTTTTGAGGAACCCATTTCTCCTTTTATTTTTGCACATAAAAAATCATTGAACTTTAATAATGGTTTGATTACCCACTTTGCTTAACTGAACTGTATCTGTACTGTTACTCTTGTTGGGTTGGAAAATAAAATCATGATATCAATTTCGGATATCGAAGATAATTTGTTTGACCAAAATGATAAAAACTGTCTCCAATTTAAAGCTGTAGGAGCATCAAATAGACATCAAATTGTTGTCTTTTTGCTTGAATTTGGATAGAATGACTTGTGCATGTTTTGCAATTGCAAAAATATTTTAGTAAACCTGCTTCTTGGAAGTGTGTGCTCAAATATGTGCAAATGCTGCAATGTCTTTTTGTATTCGTATAGATCTACTAACTTTAATGGAATATCATTATATAAGCTGTTATCTCCTATGATTGTTCAAAAAAATCTGGATACAGCCATTAAATCTTCATATGAATGATTAAACAGGAAGGTATTGTAGAAATAAGAGAAGACTATGTTGATGAAGCTTTCAATGAAGATGAGCCCACAAAAGGCAGGTTCCTATCTCTTATCATTCGGTGTCTTGGTTTGAACTAATTAGATTGGTAAAGCACTTTGAGTGTGTGAAGATATATAATTTTTGAGGGTATATGCCAAATTAAATCCCCACATTGATCCCTAAAATACATCCAGAACATTCAAGGATATTTTCCTCGGAAGAAATTGCATATTAACAAATAACAACATACAAAACAATATGCTTCAAAGACAATACAAATCTAAAATAATAAGATAAAAATTTAGAACACTTATCATACCCACTACTTTGTTTTTTTGATGCACAACAATTTGAATGGTCTGACCTTTTTTTGCATACACATTTTTTCTCTGGTCTCTGAGTAATTCAATGTGTCAATTAATTCAATATATAAAATTCAAATATTAACTTGAAAATTAATAGAAGTCCTTCCTCTTATATCTGCCCATCCATTGCACATGAGTGAGCAAATCTTTTTCGCACTCGGCCTCATGGTCTTTCATATTTTCTTTGTGTGCTCAACTTCTTTCTTCAGCAACTGAAGTCCAACTTCATGATATGACGGTACTTCTACTCGGTCGCTATAGACCAATGGCCTCAAACATGACATAAAAAAAAACTATCATAATTGATGACATCGAATGGAAATAAATCCTTTTTGCTTTTGCAGTACAGGCTCTGTTCCTCAACTCCTTACTTGTCCCTAATTTCATGAATAGACCAGCCTAATTGAATCTTGGGAAATCAGTCCAAGGGCAAGCAAACTCATCAACTGGAACACACATTTATCTCTGTGGTCTCAGGCTCGGTTTTGGTTTCAAACCCTATTTAATCAACCATGCAGACGTGAAAAATCAATTCAATACCTTCATTTACTTATCTAAATCCAAAAGTCATGGAAATGAAGTTGTGTGATTTTTACCTTCAAATTCGAGAATTTTGTACCCTAACGGAAACAAATTAATAATTATACAATCAGGAACCCCAAAAGAGGTGTACCATTACAAGAGAAAAGGGAGACGTACCTTAATGAGAGAAATAAGAGGCATCGGTTTTAGGAGAGGGTGCAGCAGTGGTGAGGAGAGACATCTGAGAAGGAGGCAGCAACGGCTAGGAGCTGAATGATGGTGAGCAGAGACGGGAAGGCAGCGGAGAACAGTGAGGAGAGGCGACCGTGGAATAGAAAGAGAGGTGGTGCATGGAATAGAAAGGAAGGGGCAATGTTTGGAATTTGCAGACTTGGATGGCTGTGTGATAAAGCCACATGCTTAATCATTTAGGCATAAACAAACATTCTGATTTGACCATGGGAATAAGCTCTCCATACCATTAAGCCACAAACAAACATCCTTTAAGATCACTAGGAATGGGCTTGTTAGTTGGCAGGTAAGTCCACTATTGTTTAGTAATTTACCTGGATGCACTCTAAAGCCCAATGCTAAATTATTACAGAGAAAATGATATGTAGCGAGTGTAAGATCAGATCTGCCTAATAAGGATATACTTTGGTAATCTTAATCAATATTACAAAAGGATGAATTATTTATGAAGTGTTGGAAAGCATCAGCTTTGTCATGTGATCTCAAAATCTTGGTAAAGGTTTGGAGACATTTTATGGACTAAATCGGAGTAGAATGTTGGGCCACTATGGATGCCATTATATGCAAGTTGAATGTCAAGCTAGATGTAGATCCAACTTTTCACTTATTGGTTTTAGCCTTTAGGAGGTATAGATTGAGGAAAGGACAGATTTGAGGTTACCGAAGATTTCACATAGAGAGAGCTTGGTGATTGTGAGATAACATTTTGTCGGTCCCCTATGTAATGTAGTTGTTCACTTTCATCTTACTAGAAGATAACGGAAGAAACATTGTGGAGCTCTATAGATTTTGGAGCTTTTATATTTTTCAGGAGAGGACAGGATGAAGTTTCATATCTTCATTTTGTGGACTAATATGTTCCCTGACAGCCAAGAATATGTTTGAGTGAACCAGAAGGGTTGTGGTGTAGTGGTTGAGACCTTGGGGAATGTGGTGGAATATCCCATCTGCCCAAGGTTCGATTCCAGGCGTACACAATAATTGTGGCCACTGAGTTTATTAGGGCCGATTTCTTGCAGCCACACTTTGCTGGGATTAGTTTAGGCATAGCCTAGGACACACTTCCAGAAAAAATGATTGAGTGGGTGTAATAGATTCTACTGGTTTGTACTTGTTAGATCTGATTTTGAGCGCTTTCTTGGGTCCAACTGCTTTTTCTGAGCAAAGTAACAAGGAACATACAAAAAACAGTATGATAGGCATGATAGGTCGGCTGCCTACAAGTAACACCTAGGGTTCTTAGGAAGATCCTTCACGTGTTGTGTCATGAGGTTGTTAAAGTTAGTTTAGGGTGCGTTTGGTATGCAGATTGGACTGGACGGACGAGTATGAGGTAGGTGGGTGAAAGAATTCAGGAAGGTTTTAGGGTTATAATTTGACATGGGTAGTTTATTAATTTACCAATCTTGACCCATTTTACTTGATATTTGTTCCACCTATTTTGGTGGGACAGAAAAAAATGCATTTTTCCCAATCTAATGTTGCACCAAACTTGAGACAAGTTTTTGTACCGTACTATTCTGTCTTGTCCCGCTTACCAAACGCACCCTTAATTTAGAGGTTATTTAATGTATTAGTTTTAATGGTTTTTTTAGACTATATTTAACACTTGCACTTGAACTTATGTTGCGAGTAATTGAGGATCTTGAGTTTTTTTAATAAATTCCAGGTGAAGATGATTTTGCTCGTATCTTATCGCGGATTGACGAACTTGAAAAAGAAGAACTTGAATCTGAAATTGCCGAGGAACATGAAGAGGAAGACAAAGCTGATTTGAGTCACCTTATAAGTCTGACTTCTCTTGAACCTGAGGGTAGAAGCCCAGAGGTCAGCTCTTGAGTTATTAAATGATCAGCACATCCATGATCCATTTACCTAATTGTTGCTATTTTTTCTTATAGATGCTTTTAAATGATTGGCAGGAACAGGCGAAGAATGAACACTTGATGAGCAAAATATCTCTGCAAAATCACCCTCAAGAAGACGTACCCAAGCCGGTTAAGTTGAGCAGCTAATCTTTCTTATTCTCTTTCTATGATGTTTGAATGATTTTATTCTCTTTTATCAGCTACCAAAAGTTGAACTAAAAGATGTCATCTTAAATAATTTTAATTATTAAGATTATTAAATAGTATATTTACTTGAAACTTGCAGCCCAAAGACTTACCGGCTCGTCCTGTATCCAAAGGTCAGTTTTGATGTTAACATTATTTCTTTAGGAATCTGTGCATTTCATGTTTTAGGGATTCAGGACGTATGTTCAGGATTCATTAAGGGTCCGTTTGGTTTGTGGGATTTGGAATTGGATTCCATTCCATTCCCACATTTTGTTTAAAGGATTGTCTGGAATTGAAATCCCACAAACATGGGCTTTAGAAATCTCATGGAGGTAATTGGTTTTCTCTGGACTTCTTAGGATTTGTTTGTAATAATGTTATAAAATATGTTAAAAACGCTTGTTCTGTAATAATCAATTGATAAAAAGGTAGTTTAATTATTTTTTATAATTTGTTTTTTTATAAATTGTTATAAAAAATGGAATTCAATTCCATTCCAAATCCTTCAAATTCCAAATCCCTCGAACCAAATGGAGTAGTGTTCTACATTTTGGCCTATTTGCCCTTTTGAACTCTATGTACTCGTGCCCATCAATCTTTTGATGTTTTTTCATTTTGGTTGCTTTACGTTACATGATAGTATCATTTTATTGTACGTATTCAAGATTAGTTGTTGATCCGTAATATATAAGTGACGTTAAGGATCATATAGTTAATTTGACCCAACTTGTTTTGAGCATGTGATATTTTACAATCATTGTTTGTGTAAACTGGTACTTTCAATGTTTTTTCGTTCTTAATTCTTTCCCAGATTCAGATTTATCTTCACATGTAAAAGTTCCCACATCCAGTGGATCAAGGCTTCCTCCGAGTCTTGTAGAGCATAACAAATTGAAGGAGAGAGTGTCCCACACACCCGTGCCAAAGAATGAGGTATAACATCGTCCTCCTTCCGTCCCAAAATAAATACCCATTAGAAATGTGTAATTATTGCATTTTTTTATTAGCTAAATGACAATTTTACTCTTGATAATAATAGAGTAACGAAATTCTCCATCTAATAATTAAGGGTAGAATTGGAAAGTATGCACTTTAGAAAGAAATGGACACTTACGTTGGGACAGAGGGAGTATTTTTTTGGCTTTTCACAATAAATTTCATGTGCTAATGACCACCGACATACCTTTAGAAGGTTTCTACCTCGGCATCAAATTCGGGCAATCACAGTAGCAGGGCAAGTGTTGTTGCACCTGTGTCAAAGGAGGTAAATTTTGTGTGAGCCTTTTTTCGACCTTTTCTTTTGTTTGCCTGATGGTAACGACAACCTGTACGCATTTTGCAGGTTTCCGACTTTGATTCGAGCATAGGCAGTGATAGGAGCAAGGTAAGTGTTTGTTGCATTTCAAGCATATTCAGACTCCAAAAATGGCATAAGTTTGTTAACAATGAAAATTACTGTTTGCAGGCGTTTACGGGATCCATTGTCGAGCACACCCATAATATTGAGAACAACAATCAAAAGGGTCAAATGCAGGCCCCTGCATCGAAACCAGTATCTAGATTCAAGATGCAAAGAAAGTAGCCACAGGATTAGGGTGTAAACGAGCTGAGTTGAGTGGTATGTTATTTGAGCTCGGCTCGAAAAAGTTATACCAGGCTCGAGCTCGACACAAGCTGGAATAACTTTTTCAATGTAGGGCTCGAGCTCAAATATTTTTTGAGTTATCGAGCTAGATGCTCGTATAAGGGCTCGTACTTGCGATCGATTAACTCGTTATTGGCTCGAGGTTGATAATTTATATAAATATATATTGTATTTTTTATGAACATATGTGCATGTTTGGCTCGAAAAAGTATATGCTTGAACGACTCGAATCAAAAAGTTTAATCGAGCTTTTGAACGAGCCAAGTCGAGCATTGGTTTTATGAAGCTCGACTCATTAAGTTAAACGAGTTCTATTTTTGTGTTCGAGATAGACTCGAGCTCGAGTAGCTTGTTAAAAACTCGACTCATTTACACCCCTAGACAAGGTGGTTTAAGGTACCGAAAACTCATGAATACACTTGTGTCTATCTTTAATGTGACCTTTGTTTCACACGTTTTTCACATGCCGGGTTTTTTACTAAAATGGTCGTTCTACTCTTTGGGGTAGTGCATATATCTATATACATCTCGCCTCTCAGACCCCACCTTCGAGTGAGATTTACGAGTTCGTTTGGTTTTTGGTTTTGAGTGATCTTAAGTGATAGCCAAATCGGTATGGGCCGAGTCGGACCGGTAAGGACCGGTTATGGGACCGAAAACCAGGACTAGATGGGGTTTTTGGTAGTTTCTTGGGACCGGGACCGGCTATGGCCCGGTCCGAAAACTCAAATAATTTTATAAATAAATGTACTTTCAAATAATTTATAATCTATTTTTATAAGACAATGTAATTTTAATTATATTAAAACGTATTTTTAAAGTGTATTTGAGTGACCAAATTGTAAATTTTATAATGTATTAAAAATATATATTATTAAAAAAATTAAAAAAATCTTATTTTTTAATGCCGGGACCGCCGGCCATAACCAGTTATGAAGTACCTTGACCGGTCCTACCATTTTCGACCAGGACCGGGACCGGTTATGGAAAAGCTTGGGACCGATTAGGCTTGGCTAGGGACCGGTTTTTGGTCATCACTAGTACCAACCGTACCAATTAAATTGGTATCAATTGAGGTCTGTTGGTAGTACTGTATTAAGTATGTAAACTTGATTGGTACATGGTATTAGAAGTTGTTTACCAAGGTAGAACCATGGTACCTTTTTATTTAATTATTTATTAGTTTTTGTATTTTTTTATGTATTGAATATTATATAATGTAATTTTCACTACTTTGTTTGAACATTTGAATGTTCGGAAGTTTTATTCCTTACAATTAAGAACCCTTAAACATCACATGTGTTAATTAAGAACTCAAAATGTCACTCGAAATACGAACAAAATGGATAGTTTTAATCTCATAACTTGAAGTATAAAATCAATACCAGTCGAAAAAGGTTGGTACCAAATATATCTGGTTATTATATGGTATAAGATTTTGTATACTTATAACTAGCTGGTATAAGATGTTGGAGATAAAACTTGGTACCGTATCAAGTCCACTCCCGTCGAAATTGATCAGTTTCGATATGGTGGTTTTTTTGCATTTTAACAAGTAATTATGGTACAAGATAAATTGTTTATAAAAAAAAGTAACACTTATTATTTTATTTTATTCAATAACATATATATCTTTTAAAGTTTTTTTTTTTTAAATGTTAAAGAGATAAATTGTGCTCTACAAGTTTTTTTTAATATTGTTATATTAATGAATAATTTAATTTTTTTAATTAATTTTGATAAATTTTTTAGACGAATATGATATATTTTCTGAAAGATAAATAATTTTTTGGTAAAAAATGTAATAATTCTTTTTATCTTTTTTTCAAAAAATAAATATTTTTTAAAAATATCAACGATATAAATTGTGTTTTACTAATTTTCTTAATATTGATATGTAATGAATATTTTATAAATTTTCTATTTCATTTAATATATTTATTAAATAATATGTAAAATTAAAAAATAAATAAATCCAAAGTATAATGTTGTAATAAAAAACGTCACGTAAGCAATATTTTACACGTGGACAATGACATGATATGGAAACATGGTAACTTATGTCATGTCATCTTAATTTAAACCAAAATGTTACCATTGCTATAATCTCGATTTTGGTAGAGTGAATTTTTAATTAAAATTTAAGATTATAAACGGATACTAAATTTAAGTAAACATGTTGATTAAATGTACAATGTACAAATAATAAAATATTAAAACTAAAAGTACAATGTTGTAAAAGGAACAGTGATGCTATTATAAAATAATTTTAAAAGTACAATATTATAATAAAAAATGTTACATCAACAATATAGTACATGTGAACAACCTACATATACAGTGAGATGACATGGAAAACTCGTATAATGGGTAAATCTAAATTATAATATTATACAATGTTATAGTAGATCAATTTTTCAAAGTACAATGTCTTCATACAAGATAATTTGAAAGTACATAGTTAATAAAAAAACTAAAAGTACAATGAAAAACTTATGAAAGTATGTTGCTATTTTTTGCATTTTGCACTTATTAATTAAATTAAATATTTTTACAAGATCATTTGACACAATTTTATTATTTATTAAACAAAATAAGTATAACTTTAATTTTTATGTAACTTACATAAACATTATTAGAATTGTTATATTTGTGTTTCGATAAGTACATATATTGAATAATACTTAAAATAATAACGATATAAAAATAATTGATATGATTAATATTGATGTATAATTAATAACAATATAATTTGATAATTTTTAATTAATATTTATTTATAATTAATAGTAATAAATAATGATTAATATTAATTATGATTATAATTAAAAAGTGACCAAAAAACTCCTCATAAACTACTCTAACCAGCATTTCATTAAGGGGCTGTTTGTTTGGCTCTTAATGGTGACATTAAGAGCCAACCTCTTAATCGGTAAGAGGTTAGGTCTGTTTGGCAAAAAAAAAACAATCCTCTTAATGATTACAATAACTTCTTAACCATTTTGCATCTACTACCTCGCTAAACCATTCAGATTGGATTTGTTCCCTCTTTACCCTTCCACACCACTCTTCCAGCCGTTGCCTTCACGAGAACTCGTCCCCTTCCCCAGGTCAGCCGGTTGTCGCCTCCCGAGTCTCCATCGCCGGTGACCTCCACCGTCTCCATCGCCGGTCGCCTTCCACATCTTTGTCGCTCGCCTCCATCAGTAGGGTTAACAGTAGCGGCTCCGATTCCGATGGCGGTACGAGCACGACCACACCCTAGCGAGTAGCGACTCCCATTGATTCATCAACTACAGCAAATATTGGAAGATTAATTTGACGTCTTGAGCTACGACTTGGAACTGATTTCATCTGGGTTCTGTTACGTGATCGAGTTCGTTTATCTAGGCGTTGGTCATTTTGGGTTTGTTTTAGGCATATGATGATGGGTTTTTAGTTAAATCTTAATTGATTTGGGTTTTGCTCTATGATTGATTCTTTGTTTCTTTTAAGTCTAAATTCATCTGTGTTTTGTTATATGATTGATTTCTCGATCTGGGTGTTCGTCATTTAGGGTTTGTTTTAGGCTCTTGATGAACGATTTGATGTTATGGATTGCAGTTGAAATCAAGTAGGGTGTTTGATGATCAATTCCATGTTATGTGTTACAATTTTTCTCTATAAAAACTTGAACCCATTTGGGGGTTACAATTTATCAGGGTTAAAATGGTAATTTGTTGTCATTCAGATAACAGTTACCAAACGACATTATTTCATTCAGCACTTAATCATTCTGACCCTGTTAACCATTCTTACCACTTAACCATTCTGCACCAAACTATTCAGCAACTGGCAAACAGCCCCTAAGTTAACTTATATTTATCCAAAAGGTATACTAAATAAATAAGTTATAGGTCGTTTCCCAAACACTTACCCGGTAAGCGCTTATCGGTAAAATTTAACATTATCACTTACTTACCGGGTAAGACTTTAGTTCACCAATACGGCATCGTATGCAATAATTTACCCGGTAAGCGCTTACCATGGTAAGAGTCATCGCCCTCACTTACTGGGTAAGACTCTCGGCCCTTGTCTCCCTCTTACCGGGTAAGATTTTTGAACCTTACAATATTCATCTGATAAGGTAATGTGACTTGATAAGCGCTTACCCGGGTAAGCGTTTGGTAAACGACCCCTTGATTTATATTTGCCAAACAATGTCCAAATAACTAATTTAAACCGTTAGATTGAGATGCATCTTAAAAAAAATACCATCCACTATTTTTTAGATCGAAAATCAGTGATATATAACAAAAATTAGAGCAAATCAAATTATACAGAAAAACAATCACTTCATCGTCTGTAAATTTAACATCCATTTTGCTATACTCTTAGAAGTTGGCTCTTGATCTTTTCCATGGGTGTTCCTATAATCGCTAAAACATATAGCAGAATAAGTGCACCTCTATAACCTATAGCCTGTTTGACAATTGTTGAATGGGTTGGTGTAGAATAATTAAGTGGTCAGAATGATTAAAAGGCTCTCATGATATAGTGCAAAATGAAATATAATTGTTTGGTAATTGTGTACAATGAAATTAGAGCTCTTAATGATTAAGGGAGATTCAAAATACAAAATCATTCAGAGGGTTTTAGAACCATTAAGAGACATTTTTTTTTTGTCAAACAAGATTCACCTATTAACGATTCTGATGTTGCCTTCTAGTGAAACTATTAAGAGGTAAACAAACAACCTTTTACTAAATAGATTGCTACATGTTAAGAGCATCTCCAACAACTATGCAAAAATAGAGAAAAATGATATTTTAACATTTTTATTGCTCCAATTGTTATGTTATCCTCACGCTAAAGCAAAGAAAATGGGAGGGAGATTGTAAAAATCTCTAAATTCAGAGAAATTTTCAAAATTTTATAAAAGAGAGAAACAATATCTGAATCTTATCTGATCAGTTAAACTCATTGAAGTTAAATGTGTAGGAGAGATACATAATATTTTATTAAATGTATTAAATATTTTTTTAATACAGTTAATATTAGAATTGTCAAAATAGAACGGTTGCTATGTATGTAAATTTTTTTAATTTTTTTTAAATTTTCATACATTATTATAAAATTGCTTTAATATAGCTATTAGAGATGATGTAATGTCATTCATCACATATATTAACATAAAAATAACATTTTATGTACTTGATTAGGGTGTTTGGGATTGTTTATAAAAATAATTTATTAACTTATTTCGACGTGACATCGGTAATAAGCATTTTTGAGTGTTTAAATAAACAGTTTATATCGATGTCAAATCGGTAATATTTTTTTTTTGAATAAGCTGAACCATTATAACTTATAATAAGTTGATAATTTTTTTTGTAAAAAAAAAAATATAAGTTGTTTTAAATAAACAATCTCAAACATCCCATAAATTTTAATTTGTACAGCCATATAGGCCTTACAAATCCAATAATAATTAAGCTTCCCAAATCTATACTACCTTATAAACAAGATTTATTAAACGTCTTAAAAACAATTTTGAATGCACAAAGTCTTAAAAACAACTCATAATGCATTAAGTACTACTATTTTATGCATTCAGTCTTAAAATCTTTTAATCTTCAATTAAAATAACATATAGTACAAGTTACCAATGTACATTATTATCTTTCTTTTTCATTATCGCAAGATACCTTTGACATATTTCACTTATACCTTCATCCTCTCATACCTCTATGTCTTCTGCCCATTCCTTAAAGTAAGATTCAAATTGATATTCACCATGAGTTATTAAAAATTCGCTCATTCATCTCACATTCAATTATTCTGGAACTTTTGCTCTCGTTCTTTTAATTCTTTTATTTGCTCTTGATGTAATAATATACTTGTGATATCGTTTAAATATGTTGGATAGGCTGTAATCGGAACAGTTTGTATTAATACATGTAAACATAAATCTTCACTAATTCACAACTAGTATCGTTAACACAGCCAAACGCTCCCTTCGATTCGAGCATTTACCGCCTTCTGAAAGTCCCATGGTAGTAGGGGGAGACTAGGGTTTACAATTTTCATTGCAGCAAGAAGAACTCCATTTGGACCCCCGAATTTCTTCGGAAGCATCCAATTTGAAGTTCTTGTATACCCTAACAGGAACTTTTGCTTATATCTTATGTGAAATCGACAACACCATCTCAATTCGTCAGACCAGAAAATCCGAAACCCCAGGACAATGACGAAAGTCTACGGAACTGGAGTATTCGACTTCCGGCGCCACCGTGTTGCTGAATACCCCGTTACCGTCGGCGGTTCCGACCAAACAGTTCCGGAGAGGCCGCCGGAATCAAAACCCGGCACCAATTTGCCAAGCTCCATGACTCTTGTTGAAATCCAGCGGGACCGGCTGACTAAGATTGCGGATGCGAACTGGTCGAAAACGTCAACAAACAGTGAGAAACCTCCGTTCAGTGCGGAGCTGGTGAAGGAGATTTATGAGACTGAGTTGTTGGTGAAGGAGGAGGGCGGGAAGATGAGGAGAACGGTGCCATTGCAGAGGGTTATGATTCTTGAAGTCAGTCAGTACTTGGAGAATTACCTCTGGCCGAATTTTGATCCCGAGGCTTCTTCGTTTGAGCATGTCATGTCCATGATTCTCATGATTAACGAGAAGGTATCGGTATCCCTAAACATATATGCAATTTTACTTTTTAAGTTATTTCGGATATCTTCTTGATTATGTGAGATTTTATCTATAATGCTTTAGTCTTGAGTAAAAAACAAACTAATGAAGTGAACGCAAATTTGTATGCATAACGATGTGAAGGAGGTTATGTAAGTAAATTCTGTTATACTATGGACTTGCCTGAGTTAGATTGTATGATGTTTTCATTAGACAATAAATGAGACCTAGTAACGCTGAAGGTAATTCAGATGGGCGGTAATATAATATGGTAGCATAATGTGATATAGGGTTCTATACTCAAAATGGCTTTCTTATAAAGGAGTGCAAAAAAGGGAATTGGATCTGTCTACAGGGCAGTGGGAATAACATATCTTGAAAGTATATATTCACTATGCTGATTCCAAGTGAGTAAGAGGCCTTGTTTTTAAAGATGGAAGCATTGTACACTGTTCCTTACGAAGTAAAAATGAAAACCGGCTCGCGGAATGTGGTGTAAATGAGGCTCATATAAATTGGAAACCTAGCTTGATTTTGGTTCAGTGATGGTTGGAAACAGGTTATTTCGCCTTACTGTTTCTCATGAACATTTATATTCTCTCCGTCCGTGCTAAATACAACATTTGGCCGTACATGGATATTGGTGAAGGTAGTTCACTAGCTGCGGAAGAAACAGGGAACTCTTGCAGGGCCTGGTTAATCATAATAGCTTGCTCGTAGTGTGTAATAGCAAGAAGCTAGAGAACATGGTCCGTACATTCCTTTTGAGTGACATACTTTCAAAGTATCTGCTCTAGCACAGAGTTATACTAATCTGTATGAAAGGTTATGGTTTTAATCCCTGTAATAGAGTAAACTATATGGTTTGTATATCTTATAATGAACTAAAAGTTGAAGGCAATGATCGATGACTTGAATGTTACTTATTCCATTGGAATTTGCAGTTTCGAGAGAATGTTGCTGCTTGGATATGCTTTTATGATAGGAAAGATATGTTTAAGGAATTTCTTGAGAGGGTTCTCTGCTTGAAGGAGGTATGTGATTTGCTTTCTAGGCAGCTATTAACATTGATCAAAACTAATGGGTGCCATCAAAATTTTTGATACAGGGAAGAAGCCTGAGTATTGCAGAGAAGACAAATTACCTACTTTTTATGATTAATGCCTTCCAGGTAAAAAGTTTGTATATCATGTTACTTCTTATCCCACAGTCTGTAGTTAATTGATGTTGAATCTCCACTGTACCTTGATGACGCCTTTAGTTACTATACTGAATTTATAATTTTTTTAATCATGTCTACACATCTACACCATTTTCATGATCATGTTTATTAAATTATGATTGTTGCACGGTTATCTGTTACTTTTAAGGTTGTATCATTCTAGTACTATTTTCATCATAATCTGCTGCATTGTCATACATATGATTTCATTATGCTCTCTGCAGCTAACTAGTTGTTTTTGACATGCACAATAGGTCTTGAATATGGACAAAATAGGAATACATGCATTCTGTTATGGACAAAATAGGAATACATGCATTCTCCCTATGGACAAAATAGGAATACATGCATTCTCTTATGGACAAAATAGGAATACATGCATTCTGTTAAGTTTATTTGCCAAGCATCCTTATCAACTCAATAATCAGACACTCCCAATAACAATTCAGATTGCATTCAGCATCATGTACTTAACACAAAAAAGGAGAGGGCTCTGAATCTTTAAGACAAAAAGTTCAGGTTGAATGGATTTAATTTAGCCTCAAATTAAGGTAATTGTGAATGTGATTAATCTTGACAATCCTTTTGATGTGATTGAGGGTGTAGGGGAAAACTTATCAAGTGGTGAATTCAGAATGCAAAAAATGCAATGCATTAAACGTAGCTGGTAATGATTTGTTAGAGGATAAGGACAATAAGTACTTCACCTACTTCGTTTCATTTTTTTGCCTATCCCAACTAGTATGGAATACAAGGCATTGTTTAGGTTGTTTGTTGCACTTATTGTCTTCCCTTTCTTTTATGTGCATGTCCATCTTGTGAAGCTTCTGCATCATCTTTTTTCATAGATATAATGAATAAAGGTTTTATTGGTTTGTTCTAAGAAGAGGTATTTAATAAAAGAAACAACTACAATGTTATATAATGTTCCGTGTCTTCAAGATCTGAAGACTTGTCAGGAGATTGCTGTGAAGCATGATTTAACTCATTCCAGTCATACTAGTTTACCATTCATGTATTGTAAGAGAGATGAAAACAAGATAGTCACCTATTACCAAAGGGCCCTTGGCCTAAAGGTGATCAGGTTACCAGTAGAGCCTGGCCCCCTAGGAGGTCAGTGGTTCAAACCTCACCAAAGGTGAGGAGGGTGTGTGAGTTCGTTTCTGGAATATAAATATTATATACTTTAAAAAAGATAGTCACCTGTTCTTGTTTTTCTTGTGACAGAGCCTGGAGGATGATATAGTAAGCAAGAAAGTCATGAGATTGGCTAGTCTTCATTGCTGGCATAGTCTATCGTTTGGTCGTTTTCAGGTAAATTTATACACTCTTGTCTATTATTTCTGAAACTTGATATTGTCATGTTGTGTAATTTGCTTTTGCTTCACTTTTTAGATGGAGCTTTGTCTTAATCCAGATTTGATTAAAAAATGGAAAAGAATTGCAAAAAAAGCGAAGGAGGCAAAGAAACGAGGGGAAACTTTTGATATTTCAATGATGCTAGAAGTGAAGTTCTTGAGGAACCTCATTGAAGAATTTTTGGAGGTAATTTTTGTTAAACCATATGCCTTATTCTGTTGGATTACTATCAGGTAAGCTGACATGAGACACTTGTTTCTGTCTTTTCATCAAACAGGTACTCGATTCCAAAGTATTTTACCATGATGATGGCAGAGGAGGGTCCGGCATTCATGGATTTGAACAAATCAATGAAGCTTCAATCTTGTATTGTGAGAGGTTTATGGAATTCTTAATTGATCTTTTGAGCCAGCTTCCAACCAGGAGGTATTATTATTTCCCAGTCGCCTAATCTTAGCTTTTGCGAGTTCAGTATAGCCTTGTCAACATGGGCTGCAACATAATTCTGAAGAACCAAATTGATTTGAAAATTTCCTAGCGGCTTAGAATATAATTTATCTATAGGCTGCTTCCTAGATGTTAAACTTGTGTTTGACATCGGGGATGGAGATCATGTAAGCTTCTATGAGTTGGCAAGGCCTAGATGTGGCTTCAAGTGGAGATTCGAAAAAAGATCAATGAGATATATATTTGGACCCTGTTGTTGTCAACTTCAGTCAAAGTTGCTGAAGAATAAAAACGGATAGATAAACAAGAGAATTAAAAATGCTCAATTTGGGAGGAAATATGCTTGATCATCTTCATGGAAACAAACTTCGCAAATAACCTCTCTGAGTCTCTGTAGTTCTCCAGCTTCTTCATGTTTGACTAATTATTTGGTTCACATCCTTGTATGACTTTTGTTCTCAACATTTTATACTATTCATATGCTTACCCTCTTGATTAATATATACTCGTTTAAGTTCTCTACATTCCTACAACCACACGAGGTTTGTTTCATCCTCCTTTACAATCTTTTGTTCCTCCTTATTCCACCACTAATGTGTCTTGGGTGAGATATCTACTTTCTATCCTTCCTCCTAACACCTCTTTGCCACCCTCTCATTGCAAGTTTGTTGTCTATCACTTTTTATTAGCTTACACTTTGATATCCCAACGCCTCATGTTTACATTTTTCTCTTTAGATTACCTTCTTTTAGATCCCAGTGCTTAGTTCTAGGGTGTCTTGTCTGTACAACATTCTCGCTATTCTAGATGATACCAGGGCTTGCCTTGTGTCACTTCACATTCTGTAGGAATGACCTTATAATTCGTGCATGTAATTTGATTTTCTTTTCCAAGGACAAAGCATAGCTTGTTAGTGCTTCGACGACTATTAAAGGTTATTGGTAAGAGTCATATTTCCGAAGAAAAGTTCAATTGATCATAAGCTATTGCAAGTTTTATTCTTTCTTCTTATTTTTTATCATAGCAACTAGCTGATGTTAATCTACTCTTTTGGACGAGCTTTCTTGTTTCTTTGTCCATTAAAGCTCAGTGCGCCAAGTATCGCTGTGGTGTGTCATCTAGAGTATAATGATCCACCCATTGTTCATTTCTATAATCACGTTTTAAGGGGAACCCATAATCCTTACTACTCTAATGCACCATGTGGCTCACTTATAGCCACTACAGGGTTTCAAAGTGGTGCATACTAAGACCTTTGCCACGATGAACCTTCATTTTTTATTTTAATCTAAATAGCTATATACGATGCATGGGTTCACGTATCCCAACTCGTGTTATCTTGGCTTGGTAAAGATGGAAGTGTGGCATTGTCTTCTTATGTGTGTTATCTTCTGCCCTTCCTCTTTCCACTAAATCTCAATGTTCATGTCAATTTATGGATCGTTTATTTTTTAACTCCAAGACACTGGCCTAGTCGTTAGTTCCTTATGACCTTGTGACTTGTGTCCAATGTAACATGAGGTCTTCAGTCCAATTCCTGCCAGGTGCTATCAATTCTTTCTAAGAGTCATGGCCATTGGACTTATATAAAATTTTCATAATATGTCTAAGTATATCTCACCCTGATATCCTATTTCAATATACCAGAGCTTAGTTTGGATGATTACATTTTTAGGTACAAGGCCTAAAATTTGCCAATTCATGTGGACGGGACACTTTGCATGAATCTCTTGGACTAATTGTTCCAAATGAACGATGCCGTGGGCTCAAAATTAATGGGATCATATGCTTACTAAGCATTATTTGATGTTAATGATCTGAACCCTCATGTCAAGTTTGCTGAAGTTGCATTATGTGCTATATCTTTTAGATTGGCTGACGTGATTAAAACCCTTGGATTTCAATGTCTGAATCCACAAACTCTAGATTTGTGTTAATATCAATCATGGCTCATCTATTAGTACTATAACATAATGAAAAAACAGTTACATGGGATTTCTTCTAGCCAGTTGGTCCTTTTGGAGCTCCATCTGTAACAATGTGAACTTGGTAGACATAATCCTAATGGAGGAAAGTTAGTTTTCGACGGTACATGTTGTGCAAATATATTTACTTGGCACGTGAAAAAACCTTGTATGGATAGTCTTCATTGAGATGGCTGTTTGAGTAGCTCTTTCTGTTATTCTTTTTTCTTGTTTGGAGGTGGAGGGTAAAGAATGAGCATAATGCTTTTATTGCAATTGGCATGATCTATTCGGTGATCTGCACCTGTGATAAGCACATGTTTCTCAAGTCCATTTGGATGTTTTCTCATGTTCACAAAGTTAGAAATGTATTTGTTGTTTACTTTTTTCATGCTGTCATATGTTATTTATCTTGACTATTGGTTGTCCCACAGATACTTTAAACCTCTTGTTGCTGATGTTGCCGTGGTCGCGAAATGTCATTTGAGTGTTCTCTATAGACATGAAAAAGGCAAGCTCTTTGCGCAGTTGGTTGACCTGCTACAGTACTATGAAGGTTTCGAGATTGATAATAACTTGGGGAGACAAATGACCGATGATGAGGTGCTTCAAGCCCATTATGAACGCTTTCAAGCTTTTCAGCTTCTTTCATTTAAAAAGATACCCAAGGTATGTTCTCCTCTGATGTGTGTGAAGTAGTCAATTTCGTGGGTGTCCTGATAAGTTGATTTATACCTTTCTCTCAGTTATCTGATGATTGTTGTTATTTTTTTTGCTCCTTCTGGTTGTTGCAGCTGAGAGAACTTGCACTTGCGAACATTGGGGCGATTCATAAACGTGTTGATCTATCAAAGAAATTGTCTGTTCTTTCTCCTGATGAATTGAGGGACTTGGTCTGCAGTAAGGTCAGTAGAGGAACTATATGCTAATACACATGCCATTTTGGTAATGCCATATGCGTCATTTTCATATTGAGTTATATATGCACTGCATTTGTATTTGTGGTGTGAGGTGTACTGTACTGAAAAGTAACTTTTGTTTTCTCAAAACCTTCTGATATACACCTCGACTGGTAAAAAAATGGAAGAAAATCTGCTGCTGGAAGAAATCACTATGATGCTGCATTATCATATTCTATTGATGTGTGCTATTAATCATATATATAGTTGTTTCTGTGCTCTCATATTTTGCGGAATTGGACAATGCCACTGAGAATTAGGATGTGCATTTCTGCCTGCAATGCGTTCTTTTAATGTATTAGGTGACAGTTATGTCAGAGTAAAATCTTGTACTTGTTAGAGAATGTTGTGTGAATACATGCAATCACCTTAATCTGTGTAAACTCTGTTGACATGAAGACATAACGCCTTAACATGTTATGAGTGAACTTGAAAAAAAGGAAAAATTGGAGATAAAGGATGGTCATAACAAACTGGGGGGGGGGGGGTGCTTGGTCTGGTATAATATAGTGACCCATTACCTGATAATGGGTAATGGACCATTCCTTAGAAAAGTGAGTGGTATGAGTGTAAGGAATGGGATACCACATCTCATAACACTCTTATCAAATAGAAAAAACCCTTCCACTTTTGGAATTGCTCTACCCTCTATTTGGTGACTACCTCATGTGTTCCTGGTCCATGGCTTTGCCACCCTATGCAATGACCGCTCCCATCCCCCCAATAAGCAACATCTATGCGTTGACCATTCCCATTCCCATTCCCATTCCCATTCCCATTCCCATTCTCAATTCCGAATACGAACCATGCCCCCACCCCCAAAAAAACAATATTAATGATGTCATGTTATGATTTATCAACATCACTGTAACACATTCAGCTTGTCAACACCCCACCCTCATATGTGGATTTGAAGTATGGTGATTCTGATGAGAGTAATATCGTGGAGGGCTATCATCTGTTAGAAAATAGCTACAAGATGCTGATTTGAATGTCGAGGGAGTGTTATGGTTGTCCATTAGTACTCTACCTCTCTGAATGCTACGAGGGCACCCCATGAATGAAGCTGTTTTAAGGCATGCTTTTGGTTTAGTTTATAAAAATGGAACTTGTGAAGGGATACAATTTGATCCTAATCAACCAACTTTATCGAGATATCTTATGTCTTACCGCTTGGGTTGGTGTACTGTCGGCCGTTGTCCACCTCACTTTGCCTGGTGTGGGTGAAAAATAAGTTATTTTTATCTGTATGCATGTGGCATATCTTTTGTTCTACTCAGTGATTGTCTAGACACATGTTTATAATCTTTCTGTTATTTCTCATGATTGCACATGCATTTCAATTTTCTATATGCTAAAGGAAGCTGCTTACTTTATATTGTTCACATCTTATTGCAGCTTAAATTGGTTTCAAAGAATGATCCATGGACTGAAAGGGTTGATTTTCTTATTGAAGTCATGGTCTCATTTTTTGAGAAGCAGCAGTCTCAAAAAGAAGCCATAAATGCTCTGCCACTGTATCCAAATGAACAGATTATGTGGGATGAAAGCCTTGTTCCTAGCATCAACTACTCTGGGGAGGGTTGCCTGGCACTTCCAAAACTGAATTTGCAATTTCTGACCCTTCATGATTATCTTCTTAGAAATTTTAACCTCTTCCGACTTGAATCTACGTATGAGATTCGGGAGGACATTCAGGAAGCTGTTCCACATCTTCTTGCTTATATTAATAATGAAGGGGAACCTGCTTTCCGTGGTTGGTCAAGAATGGCTGTACCTGTTAAAGAATTTAAGATTACTGAAGTGAAGCAACCGAATATTGGGGAAGTAAAGCCGTCATCTGTTACCGCAGAGGTTACTTTTAGCATTTCCAGTTACAGAGCACAGATAAGGTCAGAATGGAATGCCCTAAAGGAGCATGATGTACTCTTTTTGCTTTGTATCCGTCCATCATTTGAACCCCTTAGTGCTGACGAAGCAGCAAATGCATCTGTTCCACAAAGACTTGGCCTTCAATTTGTACGAGGATGTGAAATTATTGAGATGCGTGATGAGGAGGGAACTCTAATGAATGATTTCACAGGAAGAATTAAGCGGGACGAGTGGAAACCTCCAAAAGGTGAATTAAGAACTGTGACGGTTGCCCTTGATACTGCACAATATCATATGGATGTTAGTGCTATTGCTGAGAAAGGTGCAGAAGATGTTTATGGTACATTCAATATCTTGATGAGGAGGAAACCAAAGGAAAACAATTTTAAAGCAATCTTGGAGTCTATAAGAGATCTTATGAATGAAACTTGTATTGTTCCTGACTGGTTGCATGACATCTTTTTGGGCTATGGAAATCCTTCTGCAGCTCAGTGGACCAATATGCCTGATCTCCTTGAGACCGTAGATTTTAAAGATACTTTTCTAGATGCTGATCATGTTAGAGAATGTTTTTCAGCTTATCAGGTTCGTCTCCGATATTTGGACTATGTGAGCATTTTATGCCTCGTGGGGCATGTTCTTGGATGTCCAACCAACTATTTCTTGTTTTCAGGTCATGTTTACAAATTCAGATGGTACAGAAAACCTGAATCCTGGGCCCCCGTTTCGGATCAATGTACCCAGAAATCTGAAAGGAAATGCTCATGCTCTCCCTGGAAACAAGTCCACAACAGCTTCAGTTGATGTTGCAACAAAAGACATTGCTGATTTTGAGAAAGAAAAACTTATTGTTGAGGCCTATATGCCTCCTGATCCTGGTCCATATCCTCAAGATCAGCCAAAGCAGAACTCTGTTAGATTTACTCCCACACAGGTATGCCTTGCTTTTTTACTTCAGTAGTTATGTATATGTGTGTGTGCATCATTGATATTGACCTATACATCAAATGTGTAAAATATCGGTGACTTCAATCCCAACAGGATCAGGTTTGTGGTCAAGCGAGGTACATCTGAAAGGAATTACCAATGGAACTCAGTAAAATTTGCTATTTCTTCTTTGGATGTTCTTGTTTGAAGTGTGATAGCATGGTTGTCACATTTGTAAGGCGAGTCAATCTGGTGGTCAAAGACCTAGATGCCTAGACAGTATGGTGTCCGCCTAAGCAAAACAGGGAATCATAGTTATTATAACGTTGTAGGCTTGTGTCAGGGGGATGGTAAACATGTTTATGTTAGAATTAGTTCTATCCAAGTAATGAAGAAATTTGACATTCCATAATCGACATTAAGATGCAACTGCATTGAAACACCAAGACATATTAAAATGCACCAAAAATTAACAATAATGCAGTTAACATAATGGATATTAGAAAAATCATATTTTGTGTTTCTGTTATGCAATTAAAGTTTCTTGTATAGATAAAGATATGTAAATGCAGACTCTTAAGGTATGTTATCCTTATCTAAATAAGTTTGAAACGTTTGTTTCAATATTTCAGTAAATCTCTATTTTTGTTAAAGTTTTGTTTTACAAGCTGCAAAACTATTGGTATTGGTGACTTTTTTTTCTTTTTCTGGAAGAAATTGATGTTCAAATTCAAGGACCTTTGCCAGTGAACTTTGAACTTAAAGCTTCTATATAAAATAGTTTTTCAGCACTGCAGATCTTCCTCCTGATTTGACGGTTATGTTTATTCTCCATCCGTTTTGCTTATGTGGCACTGATTTTGTATGAAAAAGAATAAACTACAGAAATATGAGAAGTTGTTGAACTGATGTTGTTAATGCCACATTGGCCATAATGTGTCCAAAAAAGTTAAACAAAAAGAGAAAGGTGGATGGTTGATGGCGCTCTCCTGTTTCCTCCTATTTTCTACTCTCTTATCTCTTCAGGATCAGATCCTATCACTGTCAAGTTTGCAATTGTGAGTGCATCACTCTTTGTATTCGTTAACTGGCTCTTGCTTTAACTATGACAAAGAAAGAGATTCACTAACCTCCGTGTGTGGTCTGTCTTCTGAATTTCTGATATGTTTGCCATTATATTGCTTTGTCTGCAGGTTGGAGCAATAATTTCAGGGATACAACCAGGATTGACAATGGTCGTGGGTCCACCTGGTACTGGAAAGACTGATACTGCAGTCCAGATATTGAACGTACTTTATCACAATTGCCCTTCTCAGAGGACATTGATAATTACCCACTCAAATCAGGCTTTGAACGACCTCTTTGAAAAAATAATGGAGGTATGGATTTTTTCAGTTAAAAGGGAAAAAAACATTTTTGACATTTACATTCAAGTATATATCTTCATGGTCTGTATTTGTTAATTGTCACAGAGGGATGTGCCAGCCCGTTATCTTCTCCGTCTTGGTCAAGGTGAGCAAGAACTAGCAACTGATCTTGACTTCAGTCGTCAAGGCCGAGTCAATGCAATGCTTGTGCGACGTTTAGAGCTGCTTAGTGAAGTTGAGAGGCTTGCAAGATCTTTACAACTGCCCGAGGATGTAGGCTATACTTGTGAAACTGCTGGATACTTTTGGTTGCTTCATGTTTACTCACGCTGGGAACAGTTTCTAGCTGTTTGTGCCAAGAATCAAGATAAACCAGCGTTTGTCAGGGATAAGTTTCCCTTCACCGAGTTTTTCTCCAACACACTACAGCCGGTTTTCAGTGGGAAATCTTTTGAAGAAGATATGCATGCTGCTAAAGGTTGTTTTCGTCACCTTAAGACTGTCTTCCAGGAGCTTGAAGAATGCAGAGCATTTGAATTGCTGAAGTCAACAGTTGACCGAGCGAATCACCTTATGACAAAGCAGGCCAAGATTGTGGCAATGACTTGCACTCATGCAGCTTTAAAAAGAAAGGATTTTCTGCAGTTGGGTTTCAAGTATGATAACCTGCTGATGGAAGAAAGTGCACAAATATTAGAAATCGAGACTTTCATCCCAATGTTACTCCAGAGGCAAGAAGATGGCTATGCTAGACTTAAACGGTGCATTTTGATTGGTGATCATCATCAGCTGCCTCCAGTTGTGAAGAATATGGCTTTCCAAAAGTATAGTCACATGGATCAAAGTTTATTTACAAGGTTTGTTAGGTTGGGAATTCCTTATATCGAGCTGAATGCCCAGGGTAGAGCCAGACCAAGTTTAGCTAAGCTTTATAATTGGAGATATAGGGATCTAGGTGATCTTCCTTATGTGAAGGAGAATCCTTTTTTTCACAGAGCGAATGCTGGATTCTCTTTTGATTATCAGTTGGTGGATGTGCCTGATTACCATGGGAAAGGTGAAACAGCTCCTTCTCCTTGGTTCTATCAAAACGAGGGGGAGGCAGAATATCTTGTTAGCGTTTATATCTATATGCGGTTATTAGGGTATCCCGCAAATAAAATATCCATTCTGACAACGTATAATGGCCAGAAACTTCTAATACGTGATGTTCTTAACAGAAGATGCGCTCCCTATGATTTTATTGGCCTTCCACACAAGGTTAGTAATTATGAACTTCATGGTTTCACTCCATGAATCTTATTGTATTCTATATAGCTTGAGAATCATGCCAGCCTCGAATTATGAAGGGGGCTCGATTCGATTGAGTGATATGGTTGAATCATGTGAAATTTGAACTTCTTTCTTGTCATAGAAGTCTACTCTTTAGAAGAAGCCTGTTTGGTGCTTATATTCAGGAATTCCTGTTAAAAAATAATCGCAAAAATCCGAACATTTATCCATCCAGCCATGAGGTAAATCAGCAGTGACTCCTTCAATACAAAAAAAATTGTGCATCATTCGCATACCGATGGCAGCTTCGGATAGGTCATATATCAATTCTCTTTCTCGAAAAATATAGAACAAAGGAGTCTGTGCCCCAATATTTATTTAATCTAAGAAATTATCATGGGTTCTGATTCTTAAAATATTCTGAGATTTAGAAGTCCCAGACAACACTAGGAACGCAATAAATTGTGAATTTGCTTGATATATGTTTTATTTGTCTAATACTTGTGTTTTATGATTCATTTACAGGTTGCAACAGTCGACAAGTTTCAAGGTCAGCAGAATGATTTTATTCTACTGTCTCTTGTGAGGACTCGATTTGTGGGACACCTTCGTGATGTTAGAAGATTGATAGTTGCAATGTCACGTGCCCGATTGGGACTTTATGTATTTTGTCGCCGCTCACTGTTTGAGCAATGTTATGAACTGCAACCCACGTTTCAGCTTCTACTTCAGAGGCCTGACCTCCTTGGTCTCAATCTGCATGAGATTGCACCATCTACAGATCGTCTCGTTGATGACACTGGACCCATGCACCTTGTGAGTGACGTCGACGAAATAGCTGGGATTGTCAACTTTAGAATGCATCAAGTGTATCAGGTATTGTTTTTCTTGCTGTGAAATATGTAGATGTTAGTTTGCCTTTTGTAATGCCTTGTCCATGCTCGATCTTAGTAGCATTGAGTTTTTAGGGTGCGTTTGATAAGTGGGACAGGACAGAACATAAACAAAAACTTGTTCAACATTTGGTGCGACAGTAGACTGGACAAGATTGAGTGGTTCAAAACTGCAATTTTTTTGCTCTACCAAAATAGGTGGAACCAAAGTCAGGGAGACAGGTCAAGATGGTAAATTAGTAAAGTACCCATGTCAAATTAAGACCCAAAACCTTGCACAATTCTTTCACACACCTTCCTCACTCTCACTCGTCCAGTCTCGTCTGAGTACCAAACGGACCCTTACATGTTATCTATTGCTATGCTTCTCCTATTCAACCTTCTTCCACATTTTTTTGGTAATATTTGTCGATATCAGCCTCACTGCTGTGATGCTGTCCTATTTTTTTAAACGTCATTTACATGCATTTGGGCTGCTTGGATGCTCTTTATATGTTAAACGCATCTAAAGTAGCCCATTCTCATGATTGCTTTTGCACTACCAGTTTTTGGCACAAAATAGGTTAAGGGCATATTAATTATTATGCTGTTGGTCATTTTAAATTGAAGATTATAGTTACTGCTCCTATACATATTACGCGAAACCATTTATTGAAGGGAAACCAGGTTGCTGAAGAGGGGTAGAATCAGTTTTTTTGCTTCTTCATCTTTCTGTATACTCGTTATGAATTGTGGTCAAGTATTGTTTTGAAATCTAACATATCTTTTTGCTCTTTTATCAGGCAAGAATGATTAGTCATCAGTTCTCAGATTATTCTGGACAAACAGGAAGAACGGCCGCGCAAAATGGTCATGATTTTCCTTCCGAACATGATGAGATGGGAACTGATTTACAGGACTTGCCAAGTGGGGATCAAATGGACACGGAAACACCAAATGTTGATGATCACGCCAGTGAGGATATGCAAGTTGATAACAAGCCAAACGAAACAAGTCAACTTGAAACTGCTCCTGAAGGTGAGAATATGCCTCCAGAGAGCGGTTCAAATGTGGAAGTAATTGTAGACGAAAAAAATGAATCTGTTCAAGAGGATGATTCAAACGTATAAGATGAAGTAGTAATGTCGTGAAGAGCATTTCACTAGATGACTTAATGAACCGGGTAACTTCTGGCAAATACTTATCGTTCAGGAATGGTTCTGTCGAAGAAAAACGCACTGTACCGATCACTGTGACGGGAAATGGGGGACGATTTCTGGAAACTTGACCACTTATTATTACATGACATTGATCGACTCCGCCAGAAAGCCGATGCTCGTGGTTTTTCATTGTGTTTTTGATCTAATATTGATCAAATTCAAGTGTGATGGTTTGAGCAGTAAGAGGGATTGTAACGAGGAAGAAATGATTGTTTTGGCTTTTAACACTAGTAGTTGCACACAGTTACTTGCATCCGAATATTTGAATCTTTCTACTGCAATGCACTGAAATTTTTGTAAAATTGGTTGTAGATTATATAATTCTCTGCCTTCCAGGATTCAATTGGTCGTAGATTATATAATCCAATCTGCTATGCGAGCTGATCAATCTCAGGACGATTATTCTCTTTGTGGGTAGCCCAGAATCGCACCATTTGAATCTTTGTAGCCATAAGAGGATTTTTTATTTCCCTTTGAATCACAAAGTTTGAATTTGAGGAATAAAAAATCCCCTTTGTGGCCATGGAGTTTTAAATGCTATAATTCTGGGTTACCAACAAAACAGATGGTCGTCATGAAATTAGTCGACTCGCATATCGGGTTGGATATCCAGATTAAAAAAAAAACATGATGAATTAAATAAGTCATCATATATTTAGTACTGTTGATGTTCAATCATCGTATTTCAAACATTTCTTAATTAAATTTAAAAGAACAAGTTTCAAATTCCTTTGAATTATCACTAGACCAACATGTTTATTCTTTTATGTAATTTTAATATTACTTAATTAAACTACACCATCTATCTCTTATTCTTATTTTATTTTTATATAAAAAGGGGTATTAATAGAATTTATT